ATAAAAATCAATTTTTTAAAATTTAAAGAAAATTTTAATAAGTAAATCTCTCTTGGGCTTCTAAGTAAAGTTGTAGAGGAGACTTTTTTGGTTCTAATAGTGGTTAGATCATTAAAATTGGCCTTGTGAATCCCAAGATATTTGGAGTTAAAGACATGAACATAAGGATCTGCAAATTGGTAGTTGCACAAAGTATTATAGTCTATAATAATTTGTGTAACTACCAATTTGTAGATCCTTATATTTGCGTCTTTAACTCCAAATATCTTGAGATCTACAAGGCCAATTTTAATGATCTAACCACCATTAGAACCAAAAAAATCTCCTCTACAACTTTACTTAGAAGCCCAAGAGAGATTTACTTATTAAAATTTTTTTTAAATTTTAAAAAATTGATTTTTGTATAACAGGTACTGTCATCTAACTTCAGCCAATTAGATTATATTTTTGTCTCATAGTGTTTGTCTCCGTGAATTATCTCATAGTGTTTATCTACCCCAATGCTCCTTATATAATAGATTTTAAATAAATATTTTAAACTTTAAAATACAAGAAGTAAATTGACAACACGATAATGCGAATATTAGATGCTATTACCAAATCACATTAAGAAAGTGCTTAACGGAAATTCAAATAAATGATCTAGCTAATGTGATAGAATCGTCCTAATGAATGTCATAACTTGCTGTACCTATAGTAAGTAAAAGTTACAACAATATTACTATAACTTACTATATTACTATAGTTACGATATTACTGCTATAACTTACTATATTACTGTAGTTACAGCGTTATTGCTATAACTTATTATATTACTATAGTTATGGCAAGTTATGACAAGTTATGACATTAATCGGGATGATTCTACCACATTACTGAATCTAATATTTGAGGACCCTGGATAATACTAATATAGATATGATTATTAAACTGAACAAGAAATTTTAAAAATTTTTTAAAGGTTATATTTTTAAAAAGGCTTTTTGAATAAATCTAATATTATAAAAGTGAAATTAGTAAAAAAAAGAGATACTTAAAATAGACATAATTTTATTCAAATAAATATCTAATATTATAAAAAAGTCTATATATTGTAAATTTCTAGAATAGCAGGCACAGGCATTGTTTCAGATTTTGGTCAGAATTAAGCTTAATTCTGGTTAAATTTTAAAATAACATTCATTTGGCCTGCATTAATTTTAGTGCAGGCTAAAATTTGAAATTATAAATTCTCTTAGCCTTATGTAGTTATTTACATTTTGGAATTGGATTGGGCGTTTAATTGTTTCTCTATCACTATCAAAAGCTTTGTCAGGTGCTCATCACTTCACTATCAGAGAACTATAAAATTGATTAAAAACACAAATACTCCGATATGTGAATAATTAGTAGAACCAATCAGAAGTGGTGGGGAAATTAGTAAATTCAGCTTCATTTGTAGTCAAAATTTTATAGTTAAAAATTTATCCTGGTTAGAAGTTTGTTATAGTCAGAAAAAAGCTGTGGTAAAAACTTTTATATTCAAATGCTTCACTATAGTTTGAAGCTTTGTTATAGCAGGTAGAAAAAGAAAAGAATAAAGAAAGATAAAAAAAAAAAAATAAGAAAAATAAAAGAAAAAAAAATAATAAAAGAAAAAAAAAATAACAAAATAAAATTTGTATAGTTGAAAGTTTTACTATAAACAAAGGATTTGCTGTGGTCAAAAATTTATCAAGACAGAAGTTTCTCTCTGCTGAAAACGCTCTATTAAATTGACCTGCCAAAGCACTCTGCCAAGACACTCTTCTAAGAAGTCCTGTCAAGACACCCTGCCAAAACGCACTGCCAAGATACGCTGTCAAGATGATCTGTAAAGACCAAGGCTTATTAATGGATTTAGATTCGCTACTTATTTCAAATGAATTTTTACAGTCTAATAGTGAGCCATCAGATATTGATAAATTATCCAACAAATATAAAGTGTCTAATAATTATGAAGCCAACAATTATGAAGTTTCTGATAATCACGAAACAATGGATAATAAATATTTAAATAATAAATTAGTTGCCTCTAATACATTTAAAAAAAACGGAATTGTGAAATGAACTCAAAAACCATTCTAAAAAAGGTATAATATAAAAATTTTAATTAATAACATGTATAAAGCTTTTGCAATAAAAAAGAATAGATAGAATTTCAGTTTTTTTATTGCAAGAACTCTATATATTATTTATATGTACATATTAATATTGATATAAATCTAACTAGTTTTGTGTTTATTAGCAGGCAGAACTGGCTAGTTATCCGGATGTACTTGAAATTTTGAGTCCATTATGTATACGATGTAAACATTACAAAAACCCTATTAAGCTAAAAAGAAATTTTGACAAATCATGAATTGAATCCCATGTATCTAATAGAAAATGCATTAAAAGTAAAGGGTTTCAAGATTTAAGAGAATTCTTTTCACTTTCTAGTATTCAGGAAAACCTATCGCATAAAAGGTATCCATGTTCCGGTTTATATGGAGAGAAACATCTCAAATATATTGAACGAATTGGTGGTTTTACACTCTTCGGTGGAGCTCCACCCGTAAAAAAATTAGCACAAGAACTTTTTCTACTCAAGTTTATAGAAAAAACAAAATTCTCTTACTCTAAGCTTAGATCTAATCAATCCAAAAGACTTAATAATGAATTATCAGCAAGATCTAAATGGAAAATAGATCAGAAATGTTTATGTATATGTAGTTCAGAATGTGAAACCTATACCGATCAAATTGGGCGAGTGTGTGCAAAATGTTTTTTACTAACGAAAGATCAAGTTTTTAAGGTAAAATTGGATTATTCTGATTTTTTTTTTTTTTTTAATATTATTTTTATAATAATACTGAATATTTCTTTTAGAATGCCCTTTCTAAACTTATATCCAACCCGGAAAATCGACATTATACACCCAAATCATATTTTAAAGGCAAACCGCTTTTAAAATTTCTTGGAAATTTAGATATAAAAGATCTTTGGACTTCGGTTTCTTATTCTAATGAAAATAATACAGTACTGTTTTGGTTAAAATTAGCTGAAAAGGGTTTAAATGGAGTATTTAAATCAAAATCCACATTTAAAGGACTATGTAAAATTATGATACAAATAGCCTAACATGAAGATCATAATAAAGGTGTTCAAAATATGAAATATTCTGAAGAGATTACCAATTTTATAGCTATACTTTCTAGTTTAAGTCTAAAAGCCTATGATTTTTTTTGAACGAATTTGGCAAGACAAATGTTACAAAACATTAGATATCAAATTATTACTTTATTCAATATATAAAAAACTTTTAAGTAAAAAATAGATTATATAATATATAATCTTATAACTATCTTTAAAATTATTTTTTGTGCAGGCTTTTGTGTCAAAAATCTGAAGAGTATATGTCAGACACAAGTTTATGGTTAGAAAATATGGCACGCTTCAAAAGATTAGTAGATTCTATGAACTATAATGGACCAGTCATTGCAATGACCAATAATACCAAGCTTTATTCTTGTCTTAGTTATTGTACAAATCTTGGATGTAATATTGGGCTACTTTTTCACTTGATCAAGCTCGGGTTGGTGACTATGACGAAGTAAAAACAGTAATTCAAAATATGATTTTAAATAATGCAATTGCAAAACAAGTTCGGTTATATTTACTTCAAGTAAGTCTTATTATTAAGAGAAAATTATATTTTAGTTTTGAATTTATAATTTATCAGAAAATTCATAGTAAAATATAATTACAATTAAATGAGTCTAATAAATTATTACTACTATATTGTCGTGAAATAATGAGCATAAACATTTTTTAGAATAATGGCCCGAATTAAGTTTAATTTAGGCCGAAATTTGTAATTTTATTCCTGTGTATTATTTCGTGACAATACAGTATTAAAATCTAGAGTTTGACTTTCATTTAGTTAATTTTTTTTTGTCACCATTATATATATATTTTTTTTACTATTATTTATATTTTATTTTATTTTTTTTCAAAATTTAAGATACCTTTACTGAAGTTTCCACCAGTTATAATCGGGTTGATTCCAAATAATGGTAATGAAACATTAACACAAATATTGCAAATGCATGAAAAAGTGCTAGAAATGGCTAGACAGCTTTCAATTCACATTGTTTCAGTTGGATCAGATGGTGCTATTTCAGAATTTAATGCTTAAAAGCATTTAATGACCAAACATACCAAATTAACAAAGAGTTTTAATAATCTAATTTATAATATAAACTTCACCTGCCTGGTGTTTCCTAGAGTAGGTTTAGAAATCTAAGTTTCTGATCCGTTATATGCACAAAAATCAGCATGAAATGCATTATTTTCTGGTACACGATTGCTTACTTTAGGTTATTATATAGCGACATATAATCAAATATTAAATATGTATAAACAAACTGATAGTGTTTTGTATAGAAAGGATGTTATTAATTGTGATTGTCAAGATGATGAAGCTAGCTATCGCCTTTTCTGTTTTTCTCTTCTTAATCAAGTCATGAATCCAGATACTTCTAAAAATATTCATTATGGACTTTTCATTTATTTGTTTGTAATTAGTGAGTTATTAATGTATCTGTGTTAATATTTTTGATAAAATTATTAAAAACTCTAATATTTTAACTAGGCAAATTGATTGATGTATATTAAAACAGAACAATTTCGCATTTGGAAAGAGCTCGAATGGTTATGGTGGCATATTTTTTCTTACAATATGGAAATCATATATTCAATCAGTTGCATCGAACAATTCTAATTATATTAGTCTTGAAAAAAATTTTCTTGTAACGCAGACGTTTAATATTTTAATAAGTTTAGCAGAATCACTAATAAGTATAATAAATATTTGCTAATTTTTTAAGTTTTATAAAATATTACTATATTATTTTTCTAACTTATATTTGTAGATTCTTTTAATTATATCTTATCATGATTATTATAATTCATATCCATTATTACCATGGCTTCACGGGTCTGAGGGATGTGAACGCTTTTTTGGATTGTGTCGACAAATCAACAATGATTTTACATTTTTTGATTTATTATATATGGTTCCAAAAGTATCATATATGTATAAGGCATATATGACCGGTACATTAAATGAAGTAATAAAGGATAAAATCTCTGGTGTTGGTAAGAATAATTAAATTTTATTTGCTATTACGGTTAAAGTAGAAAATAGTTGAAATTGGAAAATTTAAACATTTGAATATAAAATTTTTAAATTTTCTGCGACGTATTTTATATTTATTCTATATATAATTTTTTTTAAATTATTTATTTTATTAGGCTATATTATACATTATAATACTAGTACACTTGTGAAAACAGTCAATATATTACGTCAATGGCCTTCGAATGATGATTTGCTTTGTGCTATTCATGAGGAGTATCAACAAGCTTGGGATTTTGCGAAAGTTCTTTCAATAGTTAGTTAAAACAATGAGTTTTTTGATTTGATAAATGTTTTTGATGAACAATCGGACCAGTTGGACAATGAGAATGATGATTATTTCATTGATGATTTATTTCAAAGTAATGAAATTTCAGATTCTCATGCAATTGCCATGGCAGCAAGTACTGTAGCTAATTTCAATATGATAGATATTCATGATGATGATACTGAAAATGATTTAAGGGATGCACATTTGGAATTAGCTTTTTTATTATCAGATAAAAATTCTTTAAGCAATCAGAACTTAGAGACATATAAAACCTTTTATACTGGTGTTACTGAAGCAGGAATTTTGAATGTTTCTTATCTAGTTAATTTGTGACAAAATCATAAATGTTATAGTAATCAAAGTATGGAGCAAAAAACTGTTAGTAATATTCAAAATTTTAATTGTATGAATTTTATTGCTCCAAATACAGTTAGTAGCTTGATTGCAAATTATACATCGAATCTTGAATTATCACAACATGAGAAATTACGTAGAATTCAGTGGAAAAATCATAATCGTTTATCTGTACTCTTAAATATGAATAAGAATATTGGTAGATAACTAATACAGTATTATAAGAATAGTTCAAAATGTTTATTTTAACAAATTATTGATCTAGATTTAAGTGGAATAACCGTTGCTAATATTGGAGAACATAATCCTCTTCGCAAGCATGGTTATGGATTTTCTTATATTAATCATGAACTTTGCTTAGTGCAAATTTTGGCATTATATCAGAAGAATTCAAATTATCATTCTTACGTAAGTGGAGATGTATTCAATATAAATTCGTTATCTTATCTATTGGTAAAGGTTTTTTTTCTGCTTCAAAATAATATTTTTTCACCTGTAGCTAATTCTGAGCACATGATTTTTAGTCATATTAGTGCTAAATTTTTGATTTATTTTCTTAGATTTGGTAATTTTATTCATATTGATATACAACATAATTTAATAACTCTTTTTGGAAGGGCTTTAGAGTTATATAGATGTTTTAATAAACAGCCTACCAAAAATTTGTTACGAATTATTGTTAATTTTGAAGTAGACAAGAATTAGATTTAATGAAGCTAATAAATCAATAGAACGAACAGCTTTCTGAACAGATTTATTCATCTTGGAATATTGAAATGAGTTTAGAATAAATTCCAAATATTTTCGTTATGCCGATTTAGTATAAATATAATAATCATTTATAAATTGATTACTTAAAGTAAGCTATTTATCTTTAAATTTCTTGTTCGCAATAATTAATTGTATGATTTTCAATTTATCAATTAAAATGCTTTATCGATCTATTATTATATTAATTTTGATTTTACCAAAATTTCAGGAAAAAAATTTGAATAATGAAAAATTAGCTCTCTAATAATTTTAATATCAACATTATTGAATAGAGTTACTAAATTATTTTCGGTAATTATTAATGAAACACATATAGCAAAAATCACTTCATGGCTTGATAAAAAAGCTAATGCATATGCTGCAACAAATAATTCATACGAATTTAAATTAATTCTTTGTAAAATGATTGATTGGCATTAAAAAAAAACGAATATGAAAAAAAAAAAAAATATTAGGAGCAATTAATTGGCGAAACAAAAATTGAATAGTATTACCTCTTATTTAATTCTTATTCATGTAAGTATGACAATTTTTATCAGTTGAAGTATTTATAATTTATCTGCATTTAATTTTTTATTTTGTTAAATTTATAGTTCATCATCTGTAAAAATGTTACAAATCATAAAATCACAACTATAAAAGGATCTATTAGAATATTCTGACAATTTATTACTGCATATGTAATAATGTTTTATAAAAGTAAACAAATTCAGCAATATAAAAATACTATATAATGCTAAAATAGTTATTTACGTATTTATAGTATTCACCCATATAATATTTTTCCTGTTCTGGGTCTGCTTACCAACAATATTCCTTACTTTTTTTGCACCTTTCCAAATTTTTCACGCAGCACAAGTATAACAAAGTATGAATCTATCATATAATTTTTAAACTATTATCATCTAAACCTCAATTTATCTAATTATTCTTTCTAATTTTTTAGATTTTATCCTAAATTTGACACAAAATATGGGCTTATATAAATCTTGTTATATAACTAAATTTATTCTGTAGAAAAGTATTGTAAAATAAATATAGTTTATTTACTTAAGAATTGGTCTCAGATTTTATAAATACAATGCTATGAAAAATAATATTTTGTTATACAAACACTTGCATTTAATCTTTGAGTATTTTCTTAAAAAAATATTAATCCGCATTTATAAATATTTTTTGTTGTTTTATAAATATATTTATTATAATATATTTATTTTATTAAGATGTTTCATTTCTATATAATTAACTTCGCATTACACAAAGTTAGGTATTTTTTAGATATATGTTTTATATGTTATATAATTAAATAGAGCATATAAATTGTAAATTGAAAGGTACAAGACTTAAAATAGACAAAATCAAGAGCTTTAAAGTAGACAAAATGCTTGAAAATTTACTATTAACCCAACTCATACCTATATTAGTATTATCCGGAGTCCTAATATTTACAAATTACAAGGTATTTATTACACTAGTTAAAATTTTTAAACAATATATAAAATTTATTATACTAATTAAAGCTTGTTTTCTGACATCTTTTGTTTAAAAGCACTAGAGTACGAGCCTATTCAATTATGTATTGTAAAATTTATCTTAACTTCTTTAGTTATCATTTAAAAAAAAACTTTTCAAAATTTCTTTTATATCTTTTTT